CTTAGTACAGTTAGGTTTACAGCAGTAAAGTTTGAGAAATAGTTGCGAAAGCGAGTGGAAACATTGAATCCCTTGAGGATTTCATATGCGATGATTGGAATGTGAAGCTGAGATCTACTAGAGCAAAGTAAAGCATTAAACTAAACCCCTTGCCACGGTGGCAAAGCTCCCATCGGAAGTTCCGCTGGACAGCAAAAGTTCTCTAGACCCAGTCATAATTTCAATTACACCCCTGGCTGTGAATGCAGGGCTCCCTATTGAAGCCCAGAGATAAGGCAATATTTTCAGTGAGCCTGGGGAAAGCAAAACTCAGTTCCAAAGAAAGGGAAGTGGATAAGAAGATTGTGTCAGTTGACAAACTAAACATCCCATTCCTAAAAATATGGCGAAAGGGGTGGCCATCGAACAATGGATTCGTTTATCAGGTGTCGAACTTCCTGAACTTGATAGCTCTGAGGTAGTGCTTTTCATTAGATCTGACATGGCTCATCTACTAAACCACCTTGAAGTCCACCAGGGACGAGTAGGTGAGCCCATCGCCATGATCGAAGACGCCCTTGATTGGACCTTCTTTGGAAATGCAACTAAAAGACTATGCGAAATGATCAATGCGAACTTTAAATTTCTTGCGTTAAACGAAGAACCCCCTGAGGGGGTTGGGTTCAACGATTTTGGGAGGTTGATTCCTATACGAGAATGCAAGCACCCTACGAAATCAGGTTATCTTTCGAAGATGAAAGCTTCTTGGTTATTTTACAGAGCAGCACGGTAAAGAAAGAGGACTATGCTATGGAGACGAGACCCGATCGTGCCAAACAACCGCGCGATAGCCGTCTCAACTACGACGACAATTAAGAAGAATCCACAACCGGCGGAGAAATACTAGAAAGTCATAAACGATTATGTCAGTAAAAGACACACGAGAAGGATGACATCAGAAGAAGCTAAAGTAACCTCCTCCAAAACATGGCATCTACCTTACCATGCAGTATTGAACCCTTTAAAGGTCGGGGTAGTTTTTGATACGTTAGCAAAGTTTGACTATGTTTTCGAAGCGGAAGGATTGGTATCATTGTGGACATTGAGCGAATGTTTCACCAGGTTTACGTTTGTGTGAAAGATAGAGAGTCTGCGATTCTTGTGGAAGGACTTAGATGACACACAGAGACCAAATGAGTAACAGAGGACGGTTCACGTGTTTGGCTTTATCGACTGGTCGTGCTGTACGAGCAACGCATTGAAACGAACCACTCTTGACCAACATGGGAAATTTAGTGGAGACGCGATTTATGCCGGAAATAAGAACTGCTATGGGTATGACCTGCTTACTTTAAAGCCAGACTCAGACTAAGTTATAGCTCTAGCAAAAGAGTTGATAAAAATCTTAGACTTTTCAAAAAGTCACGGGAGCTCGCTAAAGAAGGAATCACCAGGGACTTCAACCCCCCCGTATCACATATGGGAGGAATATTTGAGGCGATGGAGAGCTACGAAGGCTGTGGTAAATGACCAGCTAGGTCCTACTCGAAAAAACACTCCATGCAGTCCTTGTCGAGACAGAAGCTATAGTAAATGGGCAACCACTCACCCCAGTTGGTGATGACATTAACTATTACGAGGCGTGAACACCAAACCATTTCCTCATCGGATGAGCATCACCGAGCACCTCACCTGGTCAATTTGAGGTCGCGAAGTTAACAGCCGTAAGAGGTGGAAAAAGGGTGCAGTTGTGGCTGACATGATATGGCGAGGACAGCGTAAAGAGTACTAACCTAATTTGTCGATCCTGTCAAATGGAACTAGGAAAGGCGCAACCTTGAGGAAGGCGATTTGATCCTGTTAAAAAATAACGAGGCAGCCCGGTCCTACTGGCCCCTTAGACGAGTGCCTAAGACGCTTACCGGAGATGATGGGGTAGTGCGGATGGCATAAGTGAAAAGCTCTACAGGAATCCTCATGCGACCAACCGCGAAATTATGTTTGATGGAAGATTCTGCTCGGTAGAGTGAACAATGACGAAAAGAACGTTAGTGGGAACATTCGTAGAATAGGACTCCTTTTGTTGTCGTTCGTCTTGTAGACTCACTGGTTGGGGGATGGGAATGTTGCGGCTGCTGGCCATTTTTCCTACGGCCGGTAAGCTTTCCAGGATCCCACAAGATGGGGGGGAGAGAGTACTAGATCGAAAAAATAAAGCGTTGCTGTTGTTCAGCAAAGCAAAGTTTCTATTAATTAGACTCACTAAGGGTGCTGATGATATTTTCACCCTATTAGTATAGTCATAACTTATTTTATCAATTGAAAGCAATGTATAAATACTTGGAAAAACGAGACGGCTAACACGTGGTAATATACTTTACATTTTAAAATTAATTTTCTTAATTTTTCTTTAGTGCAAAGAAAGAGCATTTGCCCTCAGGAATCAGTGGACGACTTATCAAGCCTCCCTGTGCTCGCAACTGGAGACATTTAACGAAAATGAAAACGAGATTGGCGACGCTAAGAGTGAACATTACTGCAGATTGGATGATAACCGAGAAGAAATCTCTTCAAAATACCAGAGTGACAAGAGAATTGGTAGTGATAACCAAGGTGATGAAAAAGAAAAACCGTCATTAATGGAAGTTGAATTTAGCAATGAGCGCGAAGATAGCAAGAATACAGAAAGTACCATTGATAAAAATAATGAAGATTGTCAGGAAAGCAAAGACGACAAGATCACTAGAGAGCGTCAAAAAAGGGTTTGCCCGTTTCCACACTGCAACAGCAAGGTTGTTCACCTACCGAGACATCTTAGAACGGTTCATAAGTGTAGCAAAGAGTATGCGAGAACAGCGACATCAAGATTTGGCTTGCGCAGAAAGTACGCCTTTGCGGATAAAGAAAAGGCCTCGGCTGGAAATCGAAAATTAAAAAAGGCGCACACAGAAAGAAGCCAAAAGAAGCCTTGCCGTAAGATGAAAAGGTGCCCTCTTACAGGTTGCATGACCACTACTAACCGACTGCCTCAGCATCTGCAGAAAGTTCATAAACTACAGCGCACGTCTCCTAAGTATAATAAAGCTCTTTTAATGGCAAAGGTAATCTCACGTGATCAACCTCATATTTTCCTCAGAATGAAGCAGGAAAGTGAAAGATACCAAGGGCCAGCTTTTGAAGATGCACTGTCGGTAGACGAGGATGGTCAGGAGGTTGAGATAACGGAAGACGACGCCTCGGGTAGGTCAGACGATTAAGAGGCTGATGCAACTGAAGCGAGGTGTGACTGTGCTAGCCAGGCATTTGGCAATATCAACATTAAAGGTGATGACGTTTCAAACACTATGAGCGCACTTAGAGACTGGCTTCTTTCACCAGATGGGGGCAAGAAAGACAGGAAGACAGCAAAGCAACACGTTTCCCAATTACGCAAGGTGCTTTCAGTGGTTGGTGAAGGATTTATGCTATCCTCTTTATTGGACACGAAAAGAATTAGGGATAACTTTCTTCAACGTTATGCAGCAGAGAAGTACCACGCAGCCACTATCAAGTCATACCTATTGAGTCTGCAACACTATTGCTCGTTTTTGCTCGCAGATCAACCCAGCGG